AGATTTTTATGTTCTTTTAAGAATTGTTCACTGAAATGTTCTTTGGGGAACCAAAAATGGTTGAATATTGAATCACTGCGAAAGCCCTCTTTTGAAGCCTGAGTGTAGGATGCTACAATGGGACTACAATGGCATTTGGACACGGTACCACAACACAGAGATGTAACAATTACTGTATCACTGCTGTTCATAAGCGCTGCTTTGTTTACAGCGGTAACCAAGGAAACACTGTATCACTGCTGTTCATAAGCGCTGCTTTGTTTACAGCGGTAACCAAGGAAACACTGTATCACTGCTGTTCATACGCCCTGCTTTGTTTACAGCAGTAACCAAGGAAACACTGTATCATTACTGTTCATAAGCTGCTTTGGTTTACAGCGGTAACCAAGGAAACACTGTGTGAATCGAATCGTGAGTTGAGTGAATCGTTACATCCCTAACAACAATGATATTAAATGATGGATACCCCAACAGTAGGAACGTTTTGTTGCATTCGGTCCCTTTTGAAATAATTTGCATTGACTTAAAGCAAGTTTCAGAAGACATCTTAATTTTTTTTTCACTCAACCATCATGGAATGGAACGCACAGGATTGTGGGATATCAAAGGCATCGAAGGATACATGTATGCTGCCTTCAAAAATCGATCAGATGAAGGCATCTCAGGAGTCAGGAAGTGAAGCTGACATTGGATTCGGATGTGCCTTGATGCCTTCCTACCTTGGAATGCATCCTCAAAGGCAGCATTTTTTAGCTTTCGGACGCAGCCACAATGTGCACCGTTGGGCTGGGGGCTTCAAGAACGTGGTTGGGAACCACTGCTTTAGATCAGTGCTGGCTAATCCTGTTCCTTGAGATCTGCATTTCTGCAAAGTTCAATTGTAACCCTGATCAAACACAACTGACAGCTCATTAAGGCTACGTCTATAATCTGGACACATTTGAAAATGGCATTTTCGTTTCAAAACTCTCTCTGCCCACAAGTGTTTTCTAAAAATTTCTCATCTACACTGAAATGTCGGAAAATGTACGTGTGAAACTTCATAAAAAGCTCACTGAGATGATGGAACAGTGATACGTTTTCACACAATTCTTCTGGCAGGATCATTTTATTCACGAAAATATAGTGCGTCCAGGTCGCACTCACTCACTAATACATGTTTGATCTAAAACGCAATGTTTTGCCGCAGGACGGCAATTGTGAGTAAATTTTCTGTCATATTTGCAGGACTGTAAGATTAAGAGTATGTACAAAGTAACATATCTTTAGAAACAGTGTGAAAGTAGCACATAACAAGCACAATATCGGTATAAACAGATATATATTTGTACAATATGCATCACATTACTAAACATGCTGTTTTCTTTGACAAAAATGCTTTATCAATTTGGACGGAAGGCCAAAACGGAGAGAAAAATATGTGTTTTCAAACAAAGACATATTAGTGTGGACAAGGCCTAAGATCTTCAGGAGCACTTGATGATTACAGACAGATGTGTTGGAGCAGGGCTGGAACTGAACTCTGCAGGTAGGCAGATTTCCAGGAACAGAATTGTGCACCCCTGCTTTAGATTATTCAATTGTTCTTATTCAATTGATTATTCAAAGGTTCTTTGGGGAACCCAAAATGGTTCTCAATGGCAGGGGTCACCAATGAGAGCTAGGGTCAAGGTCTTCAGGGTCACTTGGGTGTGTTGGAGCAGGGTTGGATCTGAGGTCTGCAGGATTCAGAGGCGTTGCTGAAAACAGCCCCTAACATATATGACCCTGGACCACAAAACCAGTCATAAAGATAATTTTAGATTATTCAATTGTTCTTATTCAATTGATTATTCAAAGGTTCTTTGGGGAACCCAAAATGGTTCTCAATGGCAGGGGTCACCAATGAGAGCTAGGGTCAAGGTCTTCAGGGTCACTTGGGTGTGTTGGAGCAGGGTTGGATCTGAGGTCTGCAGGAAGGTAGCTCTCAGGAAACCCCGGTTCTATGGCATCACTGCGAAAACCCCTTTTGGAATCATTATTTTTTAAGAGTGTATAGTAAATTCTAGGAATTCTAACTAATATCTCCATGGAACATGATCTTTACTTAATATCCTAATGATTTTTGGCATAAAAGAAAAATCAATAATTTTGACCCATACAACGTATTGTTGGCTATTGCTACAAATATACCCCAGCGACTTAAGACTGCTTTTGTGCTCCAGGGTCACAGAGTGAAAACAGAAAGAAAAGCAGCCAGAGATATTGTATATGTCATCAACTGAGAGATCAAACGTTGAAAAACATATACTTTAAGTGTGGCGCACTCTAGTGGTGATGGCTTGTGGGTAAACAGTGATGCACAACATATTGGCGACTGATAAGTGATGGATACTCTGATATAATGCTGTATATGGTATAATAGTGCAATGCCTTAATTTAACTACGGCAGTGTTTTTGGTGTATCTGTGCATTTCAAATAAACATGGCAATGTCTTGAATTATTCATAACAGCAACATACAGATACTTGCATGTCTATACACGCATTAATAATTCATGTTGAATGTCACAGGAACTCTGTAGTAGATTGTCACGTACAAGCAAGAAACTATTTCCACCTCTATCCGTCGCTTCCATATTATAAAAACAAAAATGCAAGTAAGCCACCTCTAAACACTAATTTGAAAACTTACCTGCTGTTCCTAATGTCTAGTAATCCATATAAGCCACCTGAGGCTGTAAATTTTACCGCGTGGCGAGTGTTCTTTGGCACATTAAGCAAAGTGCTTAAAAGCCTTTAACCATGTTAAAACCACAGCGTTTCATTGCATTAATTTACCAACCTCCAGGCTATCTACCAACCTCCAACTTCAAAAACCAGTAGAATTGTTTACTTCAGTCATTTAGAGTTTGCTTCTTATAACAGACAATGGCACAACTTAATATGTAAAACATTTATTGGATATTGCATACAAAAAAAAAGACAAATCAAAGTAAAATAGATCACAATTAATGAGACACTTTTGGTATGCGCCCTCCTCTTAAAAGCCTTCAAAAGCCTTCGTACAATTTACCCTTAAAACAAATTGGATTCATTGTTCACAATTTATGGCTCAATTTTTACAGCCTTAAACTCACATTTCTGTCTTTTGATGGCAGTTCAAACAGCAACTTTTACTTTACAGTAGATTATTACAATGACAGATTGACAATTTCGTATTAAATATACCAAAGCACATTGTATCTGTTACATAAGTCACAGCCCTGTCTAATAAAACCTGAAAGAACAAGGAAATGACTTTCCTCATGAAAACAGTGTTTGTAACTGAAAGAAGCTAAATTTAAAATTCACAGATGTGGAGGTGTTTGGCAAAGAAAACAGTTTCCATTTACGTCACATGAAGTAAACTAAACAAAAAGGTAGATTTTATTAGCTCAGAGGCCAAGTAACAAATGTACACAAATACAACTTTACTTGAACTCAATTTCACTTAAATCTGACACAAATCGGTGTGCCCCATGATACACTATCAAGCAATTCGTTCTCAAAGAACCTTCAAAAGAACCCTAAAAAATAAACATTTAGATAATGATAGCCCCATTTAAAATAAAATAGTTCCGCACTGCATTACTTAAAAAAAAAAAAAAATCATGTTTCCCAGGTCAATTTTTTTGTACACCACACTGAATATATTCACAAATTTATAAGACGTTTAATGTAAATTTTAAATGTATTTAAAGACTCCTTGTGCACTAGGATTTTAAAAATCCTGAGGAAAAAACTATCAAAAATATACGATTGTAGCTAAAAACCAAACTGCAGTATAATGCAGTTTGTGTGAAAAGTTGAAGCATAGACCCTAGAGCTCACAGTAACACTCAGATCCGTTTCTTATAAAAATATCTGCCGCATGCATAATCATCTGAGAAACATTTAAAATAAGAAAAAGTTTTAAAACTTAAACGCAACAGAATCGACAGGGTGGATAGATGTAGATTACTCACTGGATTCAGCAACTAAAATATGGGTTTTAGTTTTTTCGGAGTGTCTCAAGTAGGTTGCAATTTGAGCAAAGCAAGCCAGAAATAAAGGCAAATTTGACAAGTCAAATTGGTTTCATTCGTCATCCATTTCTTTGGTGAATCTGCACGAGCATCCACACTTTTGTAAAAGTGGGTTGATTCTGGTCCAATTTCAATGCAGAATTCAATAACCATTAACCTCATGGTAAATTCATTCAAATTTAACATTCAACCCGAATTTTTTTTTTATATTTGAATAAACTGAAAATGTTTTGAATATTTGAATGAACAAACTCTTTTGAATACAGAATTGAGTAGCTTCTGCAACCCTCTACATTGCGAGTAAATCACTCGCATATGCGACTAAATCTTCACTCTGGGCGACTAAATGATGTCTAATATTAGCCAATGGCTAATAAATTCTCAGATTTTACTCGCCAGTGTGTGAGTTGGAGGCTGAGTATATGATTAGCACAGATATATTTTCACTCACAGAACACTCTGACTGAGTGCTTCAGAGTTTCACTCTCCGCCAAGCGATCTGTGATATGCGCACCCGTGTTTGTGTATTTGGCGTAACGTAAACTCTAATGTGAAGGCGCACGACTCGCCGTCGCTTTCTGTCGCTTTCATGTGGTCTCAAAAATGTCTCAATCACTGATTCAAACATACATAATACTATGTAAAGCATGAATCGAAACATCACTTAAAATGATTTAGAAGTCGTTTCCACCCTGTTCATCTGGTTGGCGAAGCACAAAAACATAAGGTACACTAAGCTGTCAGTTACGGGCTATAGTACACTACAGAACAATAATAATTCCCCCATTCATAACCCCGCAGTGACGAGAACACATTATTCATTGACATGAATATGCAGATTCATTAGTCATCGGCTCGCACAAATACTCTAATTTCAGGTTGTTTGACTCATTCTCGGATGGCATTCACCAAAGCTACGTACTGGGATGTCGCCGCTGTTGGGAAGCGCTTTTGACTCCTACGGTGGCCGTCTGGAAAGACTATTCATTGAAAAACAGCATCGTTTGCCGCAGCTCAAGATTAACTGGCTTTACAAATGAGGTCCGTACAAATAAAGGGTCGAGGGAGGGGTGTTATGAACTCATGATTCGAAGAATACAAAAGTAGTGGCTCTACAAAAAAGACTGAATTGTGGGGAGGAAAATACTAAAGATGCGTGGCTCCATCACATGACGGCACATTCTCTGGATCGGATCTTTGGATCGCCCTGGAAAGGAGAGCAAATTTGGTTATAATCCAACATCTCAAGACAGTCGTTCGACTTCAAGTTCTTCTTTACCAACCTGCTGATGGAAGAGATCTTCGTCTCCAAAGTCTCCCTCCTCATCATCACCGTTCTCCATTTCTATCACGCTTTTCGTGACGATTCGCTTCGCCACTTCCTGGAAACCGAAGTTCACGTTTTGTAATTGGATTCAAAAACAAAGAAGGAAAAAGCCAGAAATACGCTCTTCATACCTCTCCGCTTGAATTGACCAGTAAGGTGAGGATATTTTCTCCGGTGCCCCAAGAGCTCTGGCTCTTCCACAGCAGGTCTGAAGGAGGACTGTGGGACACGCCGGCGTCGGCGCTCCACACCTTTCACAGAACCAACTGATTAACATCTAGTCAACGTCCTGAGATGGAATTAAATGAAAGACGGTCCTATTTGCTTACATTTACTGTCTGGCCTGCCTTCAGGACAAACTTGGGACTGAATTTATAGGTGATTTCCTCTCCATCGCCAATTTGTCTCTTTAGTCGCCAACTGCCCAGAGATTGATCCTAAATTTGGAATTAAAAAAAATATATATATGATGAATTCGTTTTTTTTTTTAGTAAAGCAAGGCACCACAAAGTAAAATATTAGCTAACAAACATCACCATACTATGGAAGCCCATTTCTGCCACTGAATAAAAAAAAAAAAAAGCTGATTGCGACTTCTCACAATTCTGACTTTTCTCACAGTTACATGACAGAAACTAGCATTCGTGAGCTTCAAAGTCAGAACTGCGAGATTTAAACTTGCAATTGCGAGAGAGAAAAAAAAATCAGAATTGCATGTTTACATTACTTTAAAAATAGGATGCATTCTGGATATCAGGCACAATAGAAACACACTCCATTATGTCTGATGCCCAAGATGCTTCCTCGATGGGCGGCACTTTTGGCCAAAGGCATGTTGGAAGGCAAAGCCTAGTAAGTATTTTTGCACACTATTTAAAAGCTAAAATGCTCGAACATGCTGTCTAGGTTGACAATTCACTAGCTTGTATAAAATCAGTTGAATGATATAAGAACAAACCCTTCTGTAAAAACCTTGAGAATATAGCCAGGAATAAAACTGTACAGTTTGGTGTATGTAAGTGCTGCTGAAGTGGAGATACAAACTCATTAAAGATATGTATTGGAACTGAAATCTACAGATGTAATTAAGTGGAATAATAAAATCAAACGAATGATATGAGCAAACCCTTGAGTAAAAAAACTTCAGATTATAGATAGGAATAAAACTTAAGTTTGGTGTATGTACACTCTAAAAAATGCTGGGTTAAAAACAACCCAGTGCTGGGTAAAATATGGACAAACCCAGCAATTGGGTTGTTTTTAACCCAGCATTTTTTAGAGTGTACATACACCAAACTTAAGTTTTATTCCTATCTATAATCTGAAGTTTTTTTACTCAAGGGTTTGCTCATATCATTCGTTTGATTTTATTATTCCACTTAATTACATCTGTAGATTTCAGTTCCAATACATATCTTTAATGAGTTTGTATCTCCACTTCAGCAGCACTTACATACACCAAACTGTACAGTTTTATTCCTGGCTATATTCTCAAGGTTTTTACAGAAGGGTTTGTTCTTATATCATTCAACTGATTGGAAGCCCATTTCTGCCACTGAATAAAAAAAAAAAAAAGCTGATTGCGACTTCTCACAATTCTGACTTTTCAGTTAGTTACATGACAGAAACTAGCATTCGTGAGCTTCAAAGTCAGAACTGCGAGATTTAAACTTGCAATTGCGAGAGAGAAAAAAAATCAGAATTGCATGTTTATATCTCGTAATTCTGAGAAAAAAAAGTCCTAAAAAAAAAAAAAAATATTGCAATTACCTTTTATCTTTTATTCAGTGGCAGAAACTGGCTTCCATATCATACTTCCCTAGGTGATTGATTACATTAAGTTTTGTGAAATATGTTTAAATATTTTAAATGAGGCATCTAATTAAATATGTACTAATTTGCATACATTTCCAGAACAGAAATGGTAAAGCCAGGTTCAAAATTTTTGTTTAATTTTGTTGATAAAGTTAAACATTTTTATAGAGATCTTTGACTTCTGACTCCACAAATCCGAAAAACTGCCAAAAGAAAAGACATTTTCACTAAGTTTTTAGGAATAAAATGTTGTATAAAACCAGGTGAATGATGTATGAACAAACCCCTCAATAAACACCTTCAGAATATAGTCAGGAATAAAACTGTAAAGTTTGGTGTAAGTGCTGCTGAAGGTGGAGAAAAAAACTTAAAGAAATGTACACTAAATGAAACCTACAGACACAAATATGTCGTTTTCAGGACTTACTTTAAAAATAGGATGCATTCTGGATATCAGGCACAATAGAAACACACTCCATTATGTCTGATGCCCAAGATGCTTCCTCGATGGGCGGCACTTTTGGCCAAAGGCATGTTGGAAGGCAAAGCCTAGTAAGTATTTTTGCACACTATTTAAAAGCTAAAATGCTCGAACATGCTGTCTAGGTTGACAATTCACTAGCTTGTATAAAATCAGTTGAATGATATAAGAACAAACCCTTCTGTAAAAACCTTGAGAATATAGCCAGGAATAAAACTGTACAGTTTGGTGTATGTAAGTGCTGCTGAAGTGGAGATACAAACTCATTAAAGATATGTATTGGAACTGAAATCTACAGATGTAATTAAGTGGAATAATAAAATCAAACGAATGATATGAGCAAACCCTTGAGTAAAAAAACTTCAGATTATAGATAGGAATAAAACTTAAGTTTGGTGTATGTACACTCTAAAAAATGCTGGGTTAAAAACAACCCAGTGCTGGGTAAAATATGGACAAACCCAGCAATTGGGTTGTTTTGACCCAGCGGTTGGGTTACTACCCAAAAGGTTGGGTTAAACATTTAACCCAACCGCTGGGTCAAAACAACCCAATTGCTGGGTTTGTCCATATTTTACCCAGCACTGGGTTGTTTTTAACCCAGCATTTTTTTGAGTGTAGGTGCTGCCAAAGAAGTAAAAAAACTGTAGAAATCTGCATACACGGTGCAATAAAACTTAAAAGCGTATTTTAGACTTTTCTTTCCTCCAAGTCAGAAACAACACTTTATAAAAAGCCAAAACTAGCCCCAAAATTTCAATGTATTAAAAATGGCTTTAGCTTGTAGTGTCTTCCCTTAATACATGAAGTGAAACTTGTGTAATGTGACATTTATTGCGTTTTCCCAAACTCCCCATTGACTGTACCTTGTCAGAGTTGTTCCTGAGGGTCACTGATTTCCCCTCCAGGTTGATTTCCTCGATACTGACGCTTCCCGTCGCTTCGGCCTCCTGGCTGATCTGGACTTTGGGAGCAGCGGTGGACGCTTCCTCCAGCTCCACGCGCTTTCTCTTGGCGCGGGAGCTACGTGAAGACGTAGAAGTGCTGCTCGCTGTGGTGCGGGACACCGTGACCCGTGAGGACGGGCTGGGAGACAACTTCAGCCTAGACGAGAAGGGACACACATGCGTTAAAACGAACAGGAATTCACGCATGTCACAGTAAAAAGTGAGTAGAAAAGATGAACGGGCAACCGCACCATTAAAACGAAATGTTTATGCGACTTCGCTGTTGTCTTACCTTTCCATCCTATCATCTGTGCTCCAAATATCTCAACTGCAGACTATCTTTAACTCGTCTCAATCTTCAAGATGGTCTAAGCTGCCTGCTGGTCTTCAAGTCTTTGTGCTAAATGAGCTTTCTGACCTCTCGTTTTTCGACAGTGCCGCTATCGGTTCGCTTGCGCACAAGTGAAACACACAATTATCATTCCAGCGTGACATTTTACAACCTACCCTGCTCCTCCGGCACATCAAGTATGTCAAGTATGAAGCACAAAAATGTGAAGTGTGCTTGGCAAGCGTTTCTGAACAAGTTATGGACCTCGGGTATGCGTGAAGACGAATGACGATAATAATCAGCTGCCAGAGCTCCATCAGCAGATACAAACCGCTCAACAAAGCCTAGTTTGTGTGCATCGCGGACTTAAATGCTTGATTGTGTCACAAAACCAAGCGGGCTTCCTACATTGATGGCGTTTTCGCAGACTTGCCCGAAGCACTTTAAAAACCTAGTAATCTGCCGACCACTCGTGTTCAAACACGTTTCAAAAGCTAACAAGCTGCCTAACAAGTCACCCTTTGTAGACAAGGTACAGCATTCTTAGGTTTTGAAGTCAGTTTTGAAGCATTTTGGACATCAGGCACATTAGAAACTTGCTCCAATGTGTCTGATGCCCGAGATGCTTTCTCAATAGGCAGCACTTTTTGCCATAGGTAGGGGTGTGCGATAATGACAAAAAAAAAAATATCTCGATATTTTCTGGGATTTTGTCAACAATAATTAGAAGATATTTTACTGGGCGTGTTATTGTGCTGGTGTTTTGGCAGGTTTAGGACAGCTGACTCCCGAAGCTTTTGTTATTCTTCATAATCTGTGCGGTGGTTAGTTTGCAGGAGTAACAGAAATTCACTTTTCCAATAAGTTTAAATTGATTTTTACCTTTTATGGGCATTTTTACCTTTATAAGGCTAATTTTTTGTCTAACGTAATTACATGTATGCATCGTCTTTTGTGTCAAATACTTACATTTTATCAAAAAATTTAAACAGTTAGACACTACAGGGCTGTTACCAATCTAATAAAATCAGTATCAACAAAATTTGTGTTTGCGATGCAGAGGTGGCACAGAATCTGCATCTGAAGTGTCATTTAGATGCATTTACTCAGACTGTTTAATGCAGGACATGAATGCAGTTATAAATGCATAATTAACGTTTTGATGTTTTAGAAATAAAATGTTCAATAGTGATATTTGAAATGATTTTGGTGGGGAAAAAAGGGAAAATACTTTAAATATAAACCTAAAATCGCCAGTAGGTGGTGGCAAATCACTGCATGAGTGAGTCATTGAATCAATCATTCAACCGATTCATTGATTCAGTAACGAAACACTGTCGTGTGTTGCTCAGAGACGCAAAACAGTTCTGCTGTGGCTTTATTTGAAACGATTAGTCGACAATAAACTGTCGTCAAATAGTCATTTGATCTCATATGACCTGTAAGAGCCTGCAATAACACTGTTTGACCAGTGTGGCGCTGTAGCGCAAGACCGTAATTCAACTCTCCTGAATGAAATTCAAGAGAAGACAGACTCCTCAGCAGAACCTGACACCGCTGAAAGCAGAGTTTAAATGAATATGTAAATATGTCTTGTGCACTTTACTCTAAATAACAAAATAAACACACAACAAATGACAGTGGTGAGAAAACAGCGGTTAAGAAAGCATCTGATCATAGCGAATGTGGATAAGTTTGCACCAGCTCTGCAATCGGCTCTACAGTCACGTCACGTTTGTTGCAGCCCTATTTGAAACTATTTTCGTTGACGAAATACAGCAAAAACAAGAACTGCTGTGTCTAAAATGTAAGTCACTTTATATTCACTTCTTGTTTATTGGACTGTTTTATAAAATCAATATCACATTTGCAATCGTGCTGATATTTGGAGAAAAAAACTGTACTCTTTGTGTGATATTAACTATATCAGATTATATAAATATAAAAGACATATAAAAGTCATACGAGGGCATATTTGCCCCCTTATCTTGAATTTGAGGGAATTCTAAATTTATTTTAACAGACTAAAACATGCAGTAAAAGCGTGAACACTCTGGGTGTTTTTGCGATATACTCGATAATGTCAAATCGCATATCGTTTAAAGGGGTGGTTGATTGCGATTCCGTGCTTGCACAGGTTCTACATGATCCTCTTCAGTAATATCCTCTGCTTCTCAATCGGGCTCAAACTGATAAGCGATATTAACGACGCCTTGTTTATTGTTTACAAAACAACCAGAGCACATGCCGCTGAGGTGAGGGGCGGGACGTTTAGACGCGCGCTAGAGGCGGTTTAGCCAATCACAACACACTGGGCTAGCTAACCAATCAGAGCCCATCGCCTATTTCTAAGGGTGGGGCTTCATAAAAACAGGAAAAGATCTGCCCGTTTCTCAGAGAAGGGACAGAGCGGTGTGGAATAAAGGTAAATTATGTGAAAAATAATGCGTATTTTTACAAACGAAGCGTTAACACATTTTAGACTGCACCCCATAAACACAATCAAGCCTAGAAAAAAAACCAGTGAACCACCCCTTTAAACAACAATTATGATATTCTCGTAGATAATATATATCACACACCCCAAACCACAGGCCAGTTTGAATGAGTTTCAAAAGCCCAAAACTGCTGTTTAGGATGGCAGCTCACTTGGCCTCCATTCCTGTCATGTTTACATGATTATTGGTCTGAGCGTTTAAAGACGTGGGTCCTATAGACTCAAAGACGCGGCAGGCTCTCACCTGTCCTCCTCGCCCTCCAGCAGCTTCCTGTAGGCGTTGATCTCCATGTCCAGGGCCAGTTTGACGTCCAGCAGCTCCTGGTACTCGTTGAGCTGCTGCTGCATGCACTCCCTCATCTCGGCCATCTCGCGCTCTTTGGCGTCCAGCTGTCGGCGGTACTTGTCCCGGTCGCTGGATAGCATGTCCTCCAGCTCGCGGATGCGCTCCTCGGCGGCAGACGCCTGCGGGGGAAAAACAAGTTGTGAATGACAGGTAGCAATTAATTTCTGCTGCTCAGTATTACAACATAGTGTGGTGTTTTCCTCTAACACTACAGGAGAACTCAGAGAGAACTGAAGTTTCAACTCAAAAGGCTTTCAACTGGGACATTTAGACATCAGCTTTTGGGTTAATGCAGATTTTGACATTAAATTTTTTCCCCCAGAGAGCACATATGCTCTAAAGTAAAAAATTTAGAGCACATAAAAAAATAAAAATAAAAAAAACTGTAGGAGCACAATGAAAATCGATCTAATTTATCACACTTAATAAATGGATACAATTTTATAATTTATTACAAAACAAAGATTTTCAAATATTTTAGGTTTAAACTATTTAATAATTATGTAACTATGTATAGGCCTACTTTAAACTTTATAACCTGTGCGTGTATGTACATCCACATACATATATACAGTGGGTACGGAAAGTATTCAGACCCCCTTAAATTTTTCACTCTGTTATATTGCAGCCATTT